CCCCCCCCCTCCCCCCCTCCTCAAGGCCCTCCACCCCCTCCCGAAGGCCCCCTGCGAGTTGAGCTCATGTGATTGCTGCTTTTGGTGTCTTGCAGCATGCTTGGTACTTTCCACTGCAGGGTTTGGCTTATCCATCAGTATCAGATTGCAGTCCATCATTGCGCTCAGCACCAGTGCTAGATGGCAGTTGCAGATCTCTCTGCCTTCTTGTTCCTCGGACTTCAGCTCCTTGTCCCTAGCTTTCGTCCGCCCTGCTCTCAAGTTTATAAGAGGTCCGACTCAAAAGTCAGGGGTGCCCCATCACCAAGTCTGCATCCTCGGAATGCAAACTTCGTAAGAGTTGTGATCTAAAAATTCAGGGGCGCCCCATCAGTCCAAGGTGCCACCCTCGGCCTTCAGGGGTTGTAAGATTGTAAGAGTTAGGAAAAATATAGGTGAGCCCAATCAATCCAAAATTAACTCGGACTTCAGCTGTGTAAGAGTTCTGATCTAAAAAAGCAGGGGTGCCCCATCAGTCCAAGGCTCCATCCTCGCAAGTTCGAGGTTCGCAAGAGTTCTGACCCCATCAGTCCAAGGCTCCATCCTGGGAGTTCAAAGTAAGGTTCGCAAAGTTGTGATTTCAAGATAAGGGGCTCCCCATCAGTCCAAGGCTCCATCCTCAGAGGAGTTCCGTTTTCGTTAGTTCACGAGCGCCCCATCAGTCCAAGGCTCCACCCTCGGAGTAAGAGTTTTGCTTTAAAGATCAGCCGCGCACCACCCCGCCAGGAGTTCAAGGTTGGTAAGAGCTCTGATATAAAAATCACGAGCCCCCATCAGTCCAGGGGATAAATGCTCGATCGATGTCGAAGTTCTCTCTGTTTCTCATACTGTATGGATTATGAAAGCAGGAACTGCTGCCGGCGGAGGCCACGAAGAAGTGGGGCTGCAGGCATGTTGCCCGTGAGCTGCAAGTTGCACATTTTAGAGCCACTCGGATTATATGCTTCAGCGCGCGCAAGGATCGAGACGGAATCAGCGCAATCGGTGCGCTTCGGAGCACACAGCGCAATTCATTCGGCGCAATCAGCGCAATTCAGCTCAATTCGGTGCAGTCTGCGCAAATCGGATTCAACGCAATCCTGAAGAAGAGAATCCTCACACAGACCGTGATGAATCCAAAGAGCTTTTGCGTTCAAAATCCTTTCGAAGTCCCGCCGAGGTGCTCCTGGAACCTTGGGATGCTATGTGGGAGCGGAAAATAGTAGCATGTGCAGCATTGCCTGCATTTTCTGCGTCAGGACACGTCCAAAGCCTCAGCGCCCGCGCTGTTTTTCTGTGCGTTGTCAGAACAGATCGCACCCTGCATGTTCGCATCAGGATTAGGGCCTGGGCTCTGGCGTCAGCTCCAGGGGCCTCGGATTATGTGGCTTCACAATCCGGCGTCACGACCCAATTCGGCGTCACCACCTAATGCGGCGTCACCAATCAGGCGTCACCTAATGCAGCGTCACGCAGCATTCAGCAATTCGACATCACCACCAAATGTGGCGTCAGCAATTCGGCGTCACCACCCAGGAGACAGTTCGGAGTCACGACGAAAATTCGGCGTCAGGGGACAATTCGGCGTCAAACAATGTGGCATCACAATTCGGCGTCACCTAGAGCAATGCGGCTTCAGGATTCGGATTCGGCGTCAGGTCGTTTGCCACACTTCTCCAGGCGCCCGCCCTAAATATTAATCTATCTTTGTTTATCTATCCATTTGTCATGGAGCCTTGAAAACACTTCGACCCTTGGCGACACGTCAACCCGCAAGCTGGGGTGTGTGCTTTCGCATCATTGCCAAGCACGATGGCAACCCTTGCATCAGTAGCATAGGCATAGCTGCGAACTTGTCATCGGTTGTAGAGTTGAGGAGCCATTGTTGCTGATCCTGTCTCGATCGAAAATGCGTGTACATCTCGCATGCGTTACTTTGTGTGCTATACGACTTTGTGCACGAAGCCAGCCTTGATTTCGAGGCGGATACGTAGCAGAGGTTTGACAGTCTTCGCAGGTCATCGATGGTCTACGTTGAAACGCGCAATGTAGGTTGAAACGGTCACCAAGCTGCTACGTTGGAAACAGTGTGTTTTGGAAGGACTTTGTCATTTTGGAAGTATGTGGAAAGACTGTCTCGAGAGTGAGAGACTGCTTGGAGCAGGCCGTATGTTGTGAGTAGCGATGTTAAATGCAACGCCGTGCTTGCGTAGCTTTCTATGGATCAACAGTTTGATCGTTAGTGCGCGTGTCCTAATGAGTCACAAGTGTTTGGAGTGCGCAGTGTTGGCACAGGGAGCAGGGTTCATGCCGCGAAGGTCCCAGGGTGATGGTCACGGGAGAGCACCAGCTCGTGACAGGGGCCGTGGAACCGGGGCGGATGGTGGGGCCTTGGTGCTTCAAGATGGGGCGACTATGGGTGAGTTTCACTTTAGATTTAGTGCGGGGTCGGAGTTTGATTACCTGGTCTTTGAGGTGCTGGGTGAACGCTTTGAGAAGCTGGGCCTTGCAGTTGGTGAAGTGAAGGAAAAGTATGAAGTGAACAGTGCTGGCATGTTCGTTGATTTAGTTTGTTTGGGTATCGATAACCGCTACGCTTTGGGTGGTGCATCGAAAATGAAGGCCAAGCTGGCGGGTTGCCAGTTTCTCCCTATCATATTCTTGGCTTCCAGGTGTAGCAAGAACTTTGGCATGCAGGATGTGATTCGCGCGCAGAAATGGGCCCAGACTTCAGGGTCCGCGGTCGTCGCAGCGAATTGCCGCTCCTAAGGTTGAGGTTGGCGAGGAGGCGGAGGAAGAGGATGAGGCCGAGCCGGATCAAAAAACAACCCGTGCTGAAAAGCGAAAAAAGGCGATGCCCAAATCACCTAAGGTACCGCACGCTTTGGATGCCATGCTTGATGACGGCCTGGCTGACTCAGCGACTGACAGTGAGAATATGAAGGTTGAGAAGAAGTTGGGTCAGTTGCGGGCTAAACTCATGGGGAAGGAGGAGGAGATTCGTGGTAAGGGGCCGAGTTCGGTGTTGGCCGGGCGGGCTTTGGAGGCTGCTGAGAAAGCCAAGCCGAAGAAGGCAAAGCGCGGGCGTTCGGTCGGTCAAGAGGGCCCTGGTAAGTATGCGCCATAGTCTCGGCTCAAAGGATCCGGGCACGACGGATGAGAGTGACGAGGATGATGACGACGAGAGTGGAGGGTTGGAGTTGGCCGGTGAAAAGGAAAAAGCTCCGGATGCTCGCGGAGGAGAAGCCAGGACAGCTTTTGCTACCCGGGCTTCAGGCGATGCAGGGGCAAGTCACAGGTGACGATTCCATTGAAACCATGAGTCCCATCTTTGTGCGATACCTCCTTACCATGTTGTTGCCGGCTCACCCGGTGAAGGTGATTGGGGAGAGCAAGTACAGGGAGTGGAGGACGCTTTGTCAAGCCATGTTTCATTGCAGGGTAAGGTTGATTCTGCAGGTGATCTCCTCATGCAGAGGTTCAACAGCCATGTGATGAGCTTGCAGGATAACTCGGAGAAGTTTGGACAGTTCTTGGAGCGCCAATTGCCGAGCCCAATGTTTCGTCTCCTACGCATTTTGCGAAGTTATCTTTGTGCATGCACGATGCCCGGATGATGGTCTGCAGCTTTTCAACCGAGTTTCAGTCCGAGATACCAGCAGCTGACATAGCATGTATGGTACTCTGGCACACACCGAGACAGAAAACATCACGGAACTGGAAGCTTCATACAGCGTTGTGTAGATTTAGAGCTGCTGGCGTTGATGCTTTGAGGCGCAGGGTTCTTGGGACTGGCACTTTGTCGGGGAGCAACCTCCGAAGATCCGACATTTGTCTGATGGGGAAGCTGGGAAGCCAAGCCTGCTACTGTCCGCAGGTTGGAGGTGCCCGAGCTTGGGATTTTCCGGAGTTCGGTCACCGTTTGCGATGGGCCTTGGCGTTAGTCGGGAGGCGGGCTCGCAAAGCCAGGAAGTGAATTGCTTCACAGTCCAGCCGCTCGTGCCGTTGTTCTACAGGATTCGGAGGTCGCTACTGTCACTCCCAGATCTCCAGACAATTCCGTTGGTGGCCCAGGGGATTTTCCAGCTTCCAGTGGTGCAATGCCAGTTTCTGCGGGATGTCGAGGCCATGGGTTGTTGTTCGTCTGCGACGGCGGTGTGGAGCCGAGCAGTTTATTCCCTGACTGGGCGGGGTATGCTTTGCTTTGCTGTGTTGTGCTTGTCCTGCATCAGGTCCAAAAGACCCATTCGCTGACAGGCGGGTGCCGGGCGGTGCGGTGAGACATGAGGGGATCTCTTTTGCAGGCACAGCTGGCAGCGCCTTTTCTCAAGCAGCTGCTTCTGTCTGTGCGATGCAGCAAGTGCCTTGCTCATCCATACTCCGCCTTTGCAGGTCTAGCAGATTCGTGCTCTTTCGATTCAGTGCCGCGGCTTTCGGGCACGTCAACCTCAGACACAAAGGAGCGCCAGGGTGTCGCAGGAAGCTTCCTCTTCATTACCAGTTGAATCGGACTTGTAGCTCAGCGGTAACCGTAGTGTTAGTGCGTAGTGGGAGTAGTAGTAGTGGCCGTAGCAGTAGCAGGAGTAGTAGCAGGAGCAGCAGTAGCAGCAGGAGTAAGTGGCAGTAGCAGGAAGTAGCAGTGACTTTGTCATACGTTTTCTGCCTCCAACCCTGTATGGCAAGGCTCTTCGTCCGCAGCTCCCTCCGACGGCGCTGCCGTCGAAGGCCAATGAAGGTGCCGGAACGTGTTGCAGTCAATGCAAGGGTTCAAAGGGGCCGGGTTGTGTCGTAGGTGTTCATTGCAAAAGAAGCGTGTGCGGAGACGATGTTTCGAAGTCTGCGGAGTCCAAGCCCAATTGCCTTTCACCTGACTAATTGTCGCATGCCTGCCAGGCCCCAATCTTTCCGAGACGTTGGAGACCTGCAACACCGCGCCTCACTTCGAGGCGGGCTGCTGCGGAGGGTCTTTCAAGCCTACCGCTACACAGTTCCTGTGGATACTGGCCGTTGCATTCGAGGATGAGGAGAGGCTAGCTCACTCGTGCACGTAACTGTTGCAGTTTCACGGCGATGGCGATGCCCGATGCCGACCCACTACTCCTACTGCTGCACTGCACGACTACTATTCGTAGCGCTACAATCATGGAACATGATCCCAAGGCATGAACTTCCAAATCAGGTTCAGTACAGTGGCAAATCTACATCCAAACCTTAAGTGGCCGATGCTTCAGGCCCCGACGGCTGGCCGGACAGAAGATCCTGGCGGAAAGCTTAAAGCGGGCTGTCTGTTCATGATCTTCACTTCGGAGCACCAGGAACAGTCATCACACTCACCGACGTTGTGAAACACGTCGGGGGCCGCAACAACTACAACCTCAGCAGCAAAATCAAACACGACAACAACAAGAACAACAACAGCACCAGCAACAACAACAACAGCAGCAACAACAGCAGCAGCAACTGTGTCGACTACTCACAATAAGAACTGACCGTTGTTGTATATTGTAAACGTGAACGTCACAACAACAGCGAGAAACATGACAAGAACATCGCAGTACAGCAACGAAGCCAATGCAAGCAAGTGTTAAAACATCTGTGGTTTGAGTGAAAGTCGCCCAATGAGGAAGTCGTTTTCTGCTGCAGGGCGTCCAGCCCGGAGCCCGAATATGTGCCTGCCTCCTTGTGAACGGGAGCTTTGGATTTGAGGTGTTTGGAGTGGGGTCATCGTTTCGCAGCAGTTTTGTGATTGAGGGTTCAGGACTTGCTTCGTCAGAACAAGACCGAAGCGCAGCACCCCACCTAAATGCTACACCCACACCCGACTCCTCATACCATCCCATACCCAACGCACGCTTTTGTGAACTTCAGGCTGGAGCGATCCCAATTTCTGCGCCTTCCAGTGGAAGCCCCATTGTCGGCGGCTTGGGGGGCCTAGGGTCAGGGCTTTAATGTGGAGATTGGGAACAGCCTTTGCCGGCTTTTGGGCTTTCTTGCATTACTGCTACTGCTTGGCACGGTTTTTATCATCTTTGAAAAAGGGCTGCTAGCATCACCACGACTACTACTGCCACTACTACTACTACTACTACTACTACTACTACTACTCTTACTTACTTACTTACTTACTTACTTACTTACTTACTTACTTACTTACTTACTTACGTACTTACTTACTTACTTACTTACTTACTTACTTACTTACTTACTTACTTACTTGCTACTACTGCTACTACTACTACTGCTACTACTGGTACTACTACTACTACTACTACTACTACTACTACTACTTTTACTACTTTTACTACTTTTGCTACTTCTACTACTACATTTACTACTCTTACTACTCTTACTGCTCTTACTACTCTACTACTACTACTGCTACTAGTAATAGTAGTAGTAGTAGTAGTAGTAGTACTACTACTACTACTACTACTACTACTACGACTACTACTACCTACCATTACTACGACTAGTACTACTCCTCCTCCTGCTGCTGCTCCTACTGCTATCACTGCTGTGCTGCTGCTATGAGCGCTACTGCTACTCCTCTTCCTCCTGCTGTTGAATTGTTGCCGTGATGATGATTACGGCCAGTTTTGTTGACAACATCGCAGCACTGCGTTTTTCAAGGATGTCATCATGTAGGCTTGCATGCGCAGACGTTTGGACCAGGCGGTTTCTTTCTGGAAGAGAAGCATTGAAGCGAAATACAGAGATTTCAAAGCAGCTGCGACCGATTGCGTCGTCCAGAAACTTGGTCTCTGTGCCTGCGTTGATGCAAGACAGTACCATCAGACATGCGTTGCGACCAAGCCCAACAAGCCTGCCCTTCGCATGAAGCTCCGTGATCGCGAACTTATGAGTGTTTCCGGAAACAACTCCCTGCGTGTGAGGCAGAGGACAAACTCACCCCAGTGGGGTGTTTCAGTCAGAGATGAATAACCAGCTCCAGATCCGAAACGCAGCATTCCGGAACGGTTAGGAAAGCGGCCCTGCTGTTGCCAAGGCGCGTCCTGCTGGGAGCCGTGGAAATTCGAGACAGGTGCCGGCCCAGAGGGTTGCCGTGCCCTGCTTTGACCCAGTCTGTTTATGTACGAGTGCAGTTGGGGCTCTCTGGTTGGCTCCCCGACGCGCAGGTGGCTAGAGCCCAATGTTGAGCTCTGCTGCGAGATACGCCTCTTCCAGTACTGCCCTTGCAGGGGTGAACAGCGAAAGAGCTGCGCATGTGCAGGCACCGGGCAAGATTTGGCAGCACTTGTAGAATCACCTTGACATCCGATCTGCTGAGTAGTGATGCTATTCACCAGCAGTAAACCACCTCATCCTCATTCTCATCCTCCTCATCTCATCAGCATCAGCATCATCATCATCATCACCACCATCACCATCACCATCCCTCTCATCATCATCCTCATCCTCATCATCCTCCTCCTCCTCCTCCTTCTCATCATTGGACTCCTCCTCCTCATCATCATCCTCATCCTCATCATCCTCATCCTCCTCCGCCTCCTCCTCCTTATCATCATCATCGTCATCAACGTCATCATCGTCATCATCGTCATCATCATCATCATCGTCATCGTCATCGTCATCGGCATCATCATCATCATCATCATCATCATCTGACCATCAGCATCATCATCACCATCATCATTACCAACACCATCATCATCACCATCGACATCAGCATCATCACCATCGGCATCATCGTCATTATCACGATCATGATGATGATGATGATGATCATCATCATCATCATCATCATCATCGCCATCATGACCATCATCATCATCATCACCATCATCATCATCATCATCATCACCAACATTGGCATCACCATCATCATCACCATCAGCATCATCATCAAACATGAAGAACATCAGAAACATCACCGTCATGTTCATGCCGTTGATGTTTATTACCATATTTGTTGTGCTGCCACCGCCGCTGCTGCAGCTGCTGCTGCCGCTGTTGCTTGTGTAGTGGTAGTTGAAGTAGTTGAAGCAGCTGTAGCTATGTTCGTCGTTGTTCTGTTTTCGCGATGAAGTCCGATGAAGTCCCGATGCTTCGTTACCTGCATTGTGAAAAGTCTCGGCCACCAAGGCCTCGGGCGGCCCTGACATTGGCGCTGTTTCCAGAGTCATGGGCTCGATGACGGGAGAGAGTCTGCTTTGGCCCAGTGTGGTTTGTTTTGTTTCTGAAGGGTCTTCGGTGTGGGTTTAGGAAGTCGAGAAGGTTTCAGCAGCAGCTGCTGTAAGAGCTGTGGTTGAATCTATCGGCCACAGGGCAAACGGTGACAGAGCACCCGCCCACGACGAGCACGACGACATGACGTTCATGACCACAAACGACAGCCGCTTTCTGCAAGTACCGGCGGGATGTTCAAGAGGACGGCCTTAATCTTGGAGGCCACAAGACTGGATGGATGTTTGACGGAGTGTTTGATTGGTTGGTTGGTTGGTGGATGTACCGGCCAAGGTCCTCCTATGCAGAGTCCAAGCTGACTGCCGCTGTAAAGGGTGAGATGAAAGGCCGGACCAGAACTTGACATTTAAGGTCCAGGGGCTGAGGGTGTAGGGAGACAGGATTTAGGGCTGAGGCGTTTCGGGTTTGAGGTTCGGAGTTTCGGGACTTCAGAAATTAGAGGTACCTTCTTCCCCATCAGCCCGCATCGTAAGATCCTGTTATTTGAGTAATAAGATTAGGTTTTGAGGTTCCCTCATTTTCCAAGCACCCGACTTTTCTGAAGGTGGGCATAGTTCTTTGTGGCTGTTCGGCGAGCAAGTGGCCTTCTCCGGTGATGCTGTGAGCGCGCCGCCCGGTCCATGCAGGGCTCGTCTGTGGCTCCTGGTCCTGCGACCTGAGATGTAGGGTTATGTAGGGTTTAGGGTTCAGGGATAGATACTTCCCGGACTGTTCCTATGTCGTTCAGTGTAATATGCCCCGAAAACTAAAGCCCCATTCCAACGGGGTTGAGGGGTTCAGGACAGTTTAGGAGGAACTGGAGAGCCGGCCTCAAAACCAGGATCTTTCAGTAGACATCCTTATGGCTGACTTCTGCTGGGCTAGCTGCCTCAAAGGACCCTCAGTGAGCCAAGGCCGTCGATGAGCAGGGAGTGTGAAAGATCAGTGCTTGATCTACCTGCGGTCGCAGAGTCATCACGGGGTTTAGTTTAGTAGACTTGAGGCTCTAATCCCCAAGCCCGTCAAAAAGAGCATCGCTTGCCCCAGGGCAGGAGAGGAAGGCGGACGGGGGACTCCAAGCCCAGGCGGATATGGGAGCGATGAAGACCTAGCAACGGCTTCGGCATGCTTCAAGCTTTGGGTGCAGGAAAAAGAGTTGAAGCTTGAGGTGCTGTTTGGAGTATGCATCTCCGGGCTGTCGGGGTTGAGGCTTTGGGTGGCTTCATGGGATTGAGGGCTTAAGGTCCACCTTTTGAATCGAACACTAGTTGTAATGGTTTATCTGGGAGCCTGGGACGTGGAGTGCTTGTAAGTGACCAAGGGCACTAGAGCCGCCAGGTTCTCCTGATAGAGAAGTCCTCGGGAGACAAGCTGGCTGTCGGGCCCTCAGCTGCAGGAGCTTCGGTGTCAGGCGGTTCGTTTGCTGAGCTGTTGTGAGAGCTGTGCCTGATGAGGCTACGACGCACTTTCGGGCGTGTTCCTCAAAGCAAAGCTTGGCAAAAACCGTGGCCTGAGCTTCGTCTGCGCAAGCGAATCCTCTTAGGTGCCGACGGCCGGTGAGCGTCAGGAGGCTCTCTGGTTCGGCCCTCAGTGTACTTCAAGCATCATGCCTGCTAGGAGGCCAGCAGCGTACTGGTCATCGCATTTCCGATGGACTGCCTGAGACCTAGCTCTGACATCTTCCGAGGTCCAGAGCGACCTTCAGCACAAGGCCCCGGTACCTCTAGAAAGTATGCCGTGATATTGCAGCATACATGTCAGGCACATGATAAGCACTTTTTTTGACTGACGTGTACCCTGCTGTACCATTTTCGTCCATCCCTGTACATCTAAAGACCAGCAGACGAAAAGTCCGCCTCAGCTGCTAGCTAGCTCGAGCTAGCTACTGTAGCTAGTTCCCTACTCAGTGTCTTACAACTTACCTTCCTAGCTAGCTAAATGGCTGATGGGTTACATACCTACCTAGCTACTTGCTAACTATTATCTAACGACTATCGAAAGAACGAATCAACTAACTAGTTACTTGCTGACTTAGTAACTCGCTAGCTGATTGATTAAATATCTGACGACCTACCTAGCTAAGGAACCAACTAGCCAACAACTAGCCAAGGAACCAATAACCAACTCACAGCTAGCGAGCCGGCCAGCCAGCGAGCCAGCTAGCTAGCTAGCGAGCTGGCTAACTAATTGTCTATCTAACTAACGCACTGACTGGCTTACTGGCTGACTGGCCGACTAGTCGCAGATACATGAAAAGAACGCACACATGTGTATGTGATGTGTATGTGTATGCGTACATGATGTACGTGAACGTGTACGTGTAGGTGTGTGTGTACGTACGTACGTACGTACGTACGTACGTACGTAGGTAGGTAGGTAGGTAGGTAGGTAGGTAGGTAGGTAGGTAGGTAGGTAGGTATGTACGTACGTACGTACGTACGTACGTACGTATGTATGTATGTATGTATTTGCTCATGCATGAAAGGGCGGCATGTCTGCAGTGACAGAGCATGAGCTTGAACCCGCAGGCGAGTTGGCCACCTGTGTGTGGCCGCTGGATGGGCCGAAGCCTCAGGGGATCCTGGGGCTGGGACCCGAGGGCTTGACACATTTCAGTTTGCTTCGGTCGCTACGATTGTAGCTCCAGCTGCGAGCCATCAGTACGAGCAGAGCAAAGAGTAACAACCAGCATAAAGCATCAGATTTCAGTTGAGATGATCACGGTCTTCATGATGCGGCCTTGAACAGCACTTCTCTTGACACGCAGCCATCTTGCTTTCAGCCGCCAGTTGTTGCAGTGCTCCCCAAATGCGGCGAAAACGAGGCAGGGACCAAGGACCTGCCTCCTAACAATGTGACAACTTGTCGAAGCAATCCTGCGTGCTGACTCGGAACAAATCCCCGAAGACCTTCTTGCATCGTGATGGCTTCACATGTGGAGGTGTGGGCTCCCGAGCGGTGCCGGGCTGGCTTTGCCTGCGTGAATCTCAGGTATTCGAGTCGTTGCACAGGACCGGCAATTCCTGGACAAAGCTTGAACTCATGATGCTTCTGCCCCTCTGACCATCCTGATCCCGTCCTCATTGCGATGCCCGTTCTGATCCAATCCAAGTCCTTATCTCGTACTTACCCTTCTCATCTCCGTCTCGTCGGAGCATTCAGGTCTGCGCTGGTTCTTGCCTGGACGGCCCTGCCCGAGTCCGTGCCATTGGCCCTGCCCTCTGCTCGTCCTGTGGCCAAGAAAAAAGTGGTTGTCATCGGCGGCTTGGACGCGCTTGATTCGAAAACTCCGCAGAACACCTCCCTCATCTCAGGACTGTCCGGAATGGATTCAAGCAGGAGCCACAGTAAGTGTAGCAGCAGCCGGAGCAGGAATACAAGCATAGTCAACATAGTATGCAGTTATTGATGGTGCTGACAACAGCACCTGTAACCGCTGTGGCATTCGCATGCTGATGGCAGCAGCACCAGTATCGCGAATGATATTGTTGATTTGCAAGTTTCTCGATGATGTCCGTCGATCTCCATCTGTCACTGTCTTCGTGCATCTGTCGAATACTGACCGTTCGAAGAGCAAGGGCCAAAGAAAGGCACGGACTGAGTTCCTTTCCACAATGTTCTGAACAACCTCAACTATAAAATCCTAAACCATCTTAAGCCATCGGAGACCCGACCAGGTGGAGGCTTTGCTGGGCTGGCCGCCGTCCGGCGGCTTCGTCGGGACTTCGAAGTTACTTTGGTGGATGCCAAGGAGTGACCTGGCAGCAGGTGAAGAAGGTAGCGAAGGCATCGTAAAGAATAAATAAGGTCATCGCAAAAGCTTGCTCTGTGGAGCTGACGGGGGGTTGTCGTCCTCCAATTCAGCTAAGTAGTCGTCACCCAGGTGAACATCATGTCCAGGCCTTACTTGTTCCTTTCACAATAGCAAGAGGAACCAAAAGGGGGTCCCCCCGCGCCGCACGACGCAAAAGTTTGTTTTGCGGTGCATCACAACATGGCAATTGCAGGAATAGCGGCGGTACGATTATGCAGACTCTTCATGTTATGTATACGTAGGCAGGTTTAGTGTGTCGAAGCACCATGGCAAGTGTAAGCATGTACAGTGTGTCGACCTGGCAGTCAAAGCATAAAGGACACACCAGGTAGATAACTATTTAAATAACACACGCACGCGCACCATACATATCTCTGTACAAATCTGTTTATCCATTTATCCCTCCATGTATACATGTGTGTGCGTACATGTATATATACACGTACACAGGATGCTGGGTGACGTGAGACGGTTTTTACCCAGCCGGTTCAATTTCTGTTTTCCCATTCCCCTCTCGGCAGTTTTTGCGCCGAGTTGGTTGAGCCCTCCTCGAGTGCATACTGCTTGTGTGCATGGTTTTAATTAGGCTGCGTACTCCTCTGAATGCAGGAAAATGGAAAATACATATACACGCATGCAGGTGTGTGTATGTATATACATACATCGGTATGTACCTTGGTAATGAGTAGTAGTAGTAGTAGTAGTAGTAGTAGTGGTAGTAGTAGTAGTGGTAGTAGTAGTAGTAGTAGTAGTAGTAGTAGTAGCAGTAGCAGCAGTGGCGCTCCTGCTCCTGCTACGGCTCTTGCTACCGCTACCTCTAATGCTAACGCTAAGGCTAAGGCTAAGGCTGCTGCAAGTGCTGCTGCTACAAGTGCAGGTGCCAGTGCCAGTGCCAGTGCCAGTGCTAATGCTAGTCTAGTGCTAACAGTTAACACCACCGCTAGCAGTACCAGAAGCAGTTTTGGTATTGGTTCCGTTACCGGTTAACAGTGACCACTGGAACTGAGGTGCCTGAGCCCTCAAGAGGGAAGTTCTAGACGGCTTCAATGTTCATGAGCTGCCCAGGTTCTTCGAGTTCTCCCCTGGGATGATCCGGCCATACACGCAGCCGCAACTCTACGGGAGGCTGGTGCTGGACTACAGGAGCTTGTGCAACAAGATGAAGGCGGCTGCAAATAGCTTGGCGTCATCGAGAGTGTGTTCCTTGGGATGCTTGGGGTTAGTATACGGCGTGTTTAGTTCAGGTTGTGTGAGCTTTGGGCTTAGGCGGGTCAGCATAGGGTTTTAAGTTGTGGTGAAGGTGGCTTGGATTTGGGGAGCCGCGAAGAAGATCGATGAGAAGGAGGCCCAGCAATCATTTATCTTCGTTATTCAGCAGGGTCTTCGAGCCGGAGCCATGTGCGCACATCATGAAATCTACATCCTATATTATGAATCCAAAAACCTCAAGCTGCCACGTGAGTGCCAGGTGGTAATTCAGCTCAGCAACACTAGCACGAAGAATGCTCAGCTGCTGGCGCTGCCATATGACCCTCGACAGCAGCGTCACGGTCAGTTGCCCTGAAGCCAGAGTCGAATGGAAGCTGAGATGTTAGTATCATCAGAACTATACCGTTCGTCATCATCAGCCAGCATGATTAGCATAATCTCTACAATGACTCTACAACAGCTGCAACAGCAAACTACGTTGAACCCTTAGCTAGCCATATGCTCTGGGGACTGTCTGAGGATTACTGTATCATCTCTGCGGGCTGCCACTACAGCAGCAACCTCTGGTACGCTTCGCTTCTTGGGACCCATGGGTTCACAAAGACCCCCCTAAGACCTAAAACCTAAACTCTGAGCCCTGTTGAGCCCAAACCCTCAACCCTGAGCCCTAGACCCGATGGATGCTTGAGCCGAAGCCCTAAACCCTAAACCCTAAACCCTAAACCCTAAACCCTAAACCCTAAACCCGAATCGCTCACGAACGAAGCAGCCCTGGGCTTCCTCGCATTCGGTGTTTCGAGCTCACGGCGTATTCTTTCGGGTTTCGAGTTCTGAGCGTTTGGGGTCGAGTCTTAAGGTTCGTGAGTTTAAGCACTCGACCCTCCAGCCCGTTAAACAGTCACCACAAGATTTTGGAGGATTTCGTTGCCGACAGTTGCTGTTGGCCCACTGTTGACCTGCGTAAGCAGCTCGCTTTGGCAGGAAAGATCGTGAGCGCAGTCTCGAGGGTCGGCGGGAGCGAATCGACAGCGAGCCTCGAACATAATGGACTTGTCTTGTCATTTTTGGCGGCTGCCTGGTTTTAGGAAGCATTAACATAGAAATACCAGCATTTGTGACAGCAATTCTTGACAAGCATCTCGCTGACATGGAGACGAAGAGATAAAAGAAGCGTGAGCGAAAGCATTACCTTGGTGCTTAGGAGCATGCGAAACTGTCGGAGCTCGCCGCTCGGGGTGCCCATGTCGCAGTGATCGGTGCCGGTTATGTCGGTGTGCCTCGGTGAGTTTCAGAGCGATGGGCACATCATGTGGCCTCTCTACCAATCGTTTTGTAACAATAAAAACAATAATGACCATAAAAGGAAGAAGAGCGAAAAATAGTGATTTTTATGATAGTACGGTAATGCGACTAGAACGAAAACCAATAACTCGTGGACTTGGAGCTGTTGGCTCCTTGGTGCTGAGGTCGAGTACGCAGCCGAGCTTCGCTACTACTACCCCACGCTTCAAATAACTCTGGTGGGCGGCAACAGAGGTGTTTGCCCATCCATGTGCCCAGGGGCCCGGAAGTATATCAAAAACCACTTGGAGAAGAACAACATTACGAATTTCAGAAGCAGTCGAGGGTTGAGGTTGTGGGAGGCCAATGCATTCGATGATTACAGGTGGGACATCTGGGAGTTTTGTGTGCTTTTTTGAGAGCTATGGTTCTGAAGGTTGACATCATTTTCTTCAAAGTCGCCCCGATCATTCTTCCTCTGTCCTGTGCAGACTTTTTGTGCCGACACCTCCCTGCGCTTTGCTGTTTCCTCGAGTCGTTGTTTTGCCTTTGCTCCTCTCTTCCCATGCAAAGAGCCATGGAAGAACGTGCCATGCCATCTCCTGAGCTCAGGACCATCAGTGGAACGCGCTACTCCGAAGCAAATTCCACGCTCTTCTGGAAGAAGGTCGGCCGACCGCCACCGGAACGTGTCTTCAAGAGTGTTGGCATGCAACCGTGCCTCGGACCCCATACGTGCAATCTAGCAGCTAGTAGTTGGCAAAAATAATGATGAAGCTGATGAAGATGATGATGGTGCTGATGCAGAGGACAACGAAGACATCCAGGTCAAGAAACGGGTGATTCGCATGAGAGGTGGCGAGAGCACTGTATACAACGATAGTGTTGACATATGGCATAGTATGAACTATACAATCTAACCAATCACAACAGTACAGACAAGACAATAAACTAACAGTTGCACGTGCTGCAGCATGACAGGGTTTCAAGTCAGACAGCCATGACATTCATGGCACGGACAATGCTACCCATGATGCCGACCATAATGATGGCAAACCTTGCCGGAAATCCAACAAGTCGTCTGGTGATGGCAGCGCTGTTTCACATGGTGGTGCTGGTGATGATGACGATGGTAAGAACAACGATGAAACAAATGAGTCAGCTGCGAAAGAGCCTGGCAAGACAAACGCTTAGAGACCAGGGGGCGAACTTCTGACTGAAAAGACAGAGGTGAGCATCCAGACCAGAAGTGTGGAGTGGCAATTGCATAGATGTGGCAGTCGAATCTCGGTGTCGATAGATGAGTAAGCAAGGCAGACATGTTACTTGCAAGATCCAGCTCAACAGCAACTTTCTATTGCTGCTGCTGCTGCTGCTGCTGCTGCTGCTGCTGCTACCGGACTCCTCTATTGCAACGACGACGACGCTACTTCCACTGCTTCCGCTGCTGCTGCTGCTGCTGCTGCTGCTGCTGCTTCCACTGCCGCACCCCTCCGACTACTGCTGCAGCTTCTTGTCGCGTGGAGAAGATTGAGAGGAATACTAGAACCGAGTCTCTTCCCGTCTCCGCCCAGGCACTGCGAGTTCTTGCCTTCGGCATGCCTGAGTAGCAAGGGCTGGGTCAAAGTGACTCCGAGCCTGGGCACACTTGGGAACGTGCAGTTGGATGTTGAACAGTTGGGTGTGGGGTAACAGGTGCCTTGACCGGGATCGTGAAGCCGATGCTATGGGCGAGAAAGCAAGAAAGGCAAGTGAAGCTTTCAGCACCTGACGATGACAGTCGCAAGGGTGATGAGGGTCACCATTAGCATCATGGCTGTAGAGATGGCAACAACGAGCACCATGAGGTTGACCAGGATATTCTGAGAATGCAAATTTAACAAATGGCAATCATAATCATGATGGCCTTGATGGTCATGACTATCAGAATGGTGATGACGATTATGATGGTGGTGATTCTGATGCAGAGGATATGTTGCTTTCGATGATGACGATGACGATATGATGTTAGAGAATTCGCTTCGGGATTGAAGGGCGTCAGGGTGAGGGTGAGCCGAGTGTGAGGAATGTTGGTTTGAGTCGAGATTGTCCTTTAGTATTTAGTTGCGGATGTTCAGCATCCTTGTGCTGGCCACGACAGCAGGGCCGTTCTCCAAGGACGCTGCAGGTGGTGAGCCGCAGTGGTGACAGCGACCCGCAGGCTGGGCCTTGAAGGGTTTTGGGAGCTCAGGTATTGCTATTCCTTATCGTGTTTGAGGCTTGAGATTGGCGGTGTGGTTGCACAAGGCGTTCGATTTTTTCGGGCAGTTGGCCGCCTGCCGAATTGCCTTAATGCTTATGTGCACGCTAACGTACACTACCTGGCAAGATAGGTCTGCTTCATGTCCTCACGATCGTCGTGGATGCCTTGTTGGCCATGTTGATTAAAGGTCACCTTCTAAGCCCCAAATCCTTGCACTGCAAGGACTCGCTGTTCGCGGCCGGGAAAGTTTTTGCAGTTGGCAATTGTGCCGACGACGTGCGCCGGCTGCTGATGCAATTTGAGGTTTGTTCCTGGTGCCGTGGCCTAGGTTCCCAAGTTCAGAACTGGGTTTTAGTGCTGGGTTTTTACTCAGAGTCTTTCGATCTCATGCTGCATGTGCCAGTCAAAACACCCCCAAGACCCCATCGATTGCAGCCACTTAAAGTCGAAGGCCTGCAGCCGGAATCTGAAAAGAGCCGAGCCGCAACACAACCACAACAGATGCGTAATGCGGACAGCCTAATCACTAGAGCAGCCCTAAACCCAAACCACTTGAGTGTGGACAAATCGTCGAAAACTTTCATGTCCGCAAGGGCCCAATCGACAGAGGGTCTGGCGCCTGTATGTTTGTGTCCGCTCAGCCGAAGAACTCACGGACCGAGACGCTGGTGCAGGAGCTGCAAGAAGCAACATGATGACTCCTATCGACACAGTTCACGGTATACTACACCGCCCTAGTTCCATGGAACTGCTAGATGTCATTATGTATATGTATTGACTGTGTGAGCGGCTGTGTTAAACTCACGCTATATAGGGATTGGAGTAAGCGTCGTGTTTGCCCTACGCCCAGACTCGACCGCGACTTTTCTTCTGCCAGAGACTTGTTTCAGCCCAAGGCCTGACTTATTTTGCCCCAGACCTACGTGCAAGATCTGTCTCAACCGTCAGTCTAGATCGTGAAGCAAGGGCATGGAACAGCTGTGAAACAGTTGGAGCCATCCGGAAGCCCTCCATGGAATCGAGCCCAGCCTCCGACACGAAGCCCTTTTTCAGCTCTCTTCACTGCCGAGGTTCCCGGCATTCTCCCGCTACCGAAGAACTCTTACCCAGCGGAAGAGATGGCAGCCCATGCAGTAAGATTCCTGGCTGCAACAACTAGGGTACTCGGGCGGGGTCCTTTTTTTGCTGTGGCCTGAGGGGCTCCGTAGACTTGAGGTGCTGGTAATAGGGAGGTCTCCGGTTTTGTTGCAGGTTTCGAGATCAGCTCAGCTCTAGAGCCCAGCTACCAAAAAGCCACTGAGGAAACATACGCCGCTCGGAGAAGAACAGGCCGCTGAAACCGTTGCATTGGGCTTGGCCCTCCAGCGTTTGTGCAACCAGTCTCGGTCGGGAGCCTAGTGTGACCCAGTTCTCAAAGCAGATACATAGCAAGTGAGTGTGTGACTAGAAATAAGTGAGCAAGCAGATACATGAGTGAAGACATAGAGAACTCTAGGTTAACTAAATAAGTACGTGGACACGTATCCACCCAGCCACCCCAGCCAGCCCAGCCACCCAGCAAGCCTCCCAGCCACCCAGCCAGCCATCCACCCATTCGATGGATGTATGTAGGTACGTAGGTGGTAGGTAGATGGCCAGGTAGATGTATCACGAGTGTCTATACCTCTACTTAGAGCTGTTAATGGTTCAGACTCCTGGAGATGCTAAGGGCCCAAAGATGGCGTGCTCCTGGTGAATCAAAAGCTGCCGGGATCTGGATTTGTAGCCATGCGTGGACGGACTGTCGTCTGGCTGAAAGAGATCATCCGCTGGAGCAAAGTTGTTGCTTGGCAGAGCCACCGACTGTCTTTGGCTTTGGCTTTCGAGATGTTAGGGTTTCTACTACTGCCCACCTTTCGCTGCACCTTCCGCATTTCCAACCTGTCGTCTATTCGATGCTCTCTCTGTCTTCAGAGCTGAGGATGAGTGTCGGATGGGTTTTTTTGGCACCCTGATCTGGCGATTCATCCATTGATATACCAATGCGCCCCTAGTGGCCTGGACTGCTTGATGCGGATGAAGGACCAAGTCGAAGGCGGTGGTGACGTGCTGGAGCTGGCGTATTCTACTCTTTGCAGGTTCTCGGTGCGTGCGGCCTCAGAGAAGCAAGCGGAGATCCTCATCGTGGACAACTGATCCTGTAGCGCCGCCTCGCCGCCGTTGCTGCCACAGCACGGAGACGTGCGTTGATGCAAACACGTTGCTTGTTGTCCTACTCGCACCGACTTGAGCAGATTCAGAACAAGATAGTGATGACGACGACGATGAAGATGAGTGATGGTGAGCGATGTGTTGTTGTATGTTATTTTTGATGATGACGATGATGATGGACATGATGCGTACGATAGACATGATGCTGATGGTGATCACGACGATCATGTGGGTCATCTTCGTGCTGTTCTGCTTGGTCGGGTCCAAGTCGTGCGCCAAGGTCGGCTCGGAGTTGGTTGGATGGCTGTCGCAAGAGGCAGGATCGCTCGTGCTCAGCATTTGCATGTTCGAGACCTGCTGTTCCAACGAGGTCCTTCGAAGGGCCAGCTTTGGCCACTTTGCTGAGTCTTCCCCTTTTGCTTACATGCAGATAAGCCCGAGCAGCCGGCCGAGGCAAGTGGGAGTGGATTGCGGAGACGCTGGATGCGCCTCGGCCCAGCCCAGCTCAACCGTTTACATCAAAACTGCAGCAAAGACTCTGTGACCGTAAGCCCCAAGCAGTCTGAGGCAATGGGGCAGAGTGAGGTGTACGACGTGGGCAGCGGTAGCTGTGATCAAGAGGGCCGTTGCCTCCTCGACGCTTGCAAGAACTCTGTGGGTGGGGAATGGGTTCGCAGAGCCAACATGCTAAGCGTTGTCTTCGTCATTCCTGCGTCCGTGCAATCATGCAGGGTTGTTGTCCGGTCCAGGTGGTATGCAGCAAAGAGAAAGTCGTTGATGCAAGGTTTTCGGTGGAAGGATCCCAGACACGTATGCTGCATCTACGTATTTTGTCTTGCTGTTGTGGTGCTGCTGCTGCTGCCGCCGCCGCTGCTGCTGCTGCTGCTGCTGCTACAAAAAGCAGCAACAACATACTACCACACTACCACTGCTACGACTGCGACTGCTACTGCTACTTCCGCTGCCATTGCCTTGCTGCCGATAACGGTGACGATTGACGATGATCACGATGATGGTCGACGATGATGGTGGTGATGATGATGATGGCAACAATATGAACAGTGTCAACAGGTTGGACAGACTATTATGGTCGGAACGTAGAGGGCAAGCAAGACGGGCATGCTCGTGGTAGGAGCAGCATCGCGAAGAGTAAAATTTCACACACACCGCCCTCAACGCTTCAGAGCTTCGGCCGCGAAACTTGAAGGGCTGGTAACGCTACCGAGGACTATGCTGCCATGACGGTCCTTGCAGAACCCAAGGCGGCCAAGGCAGGGATTAACTAATTGGGGTCAATCGGCTTTAACGTCCGCTCGGCGGCTACTTCGCGCTTTCGGATAGGGTGTTCAAAGCTTCCGTCGATGAGTCCGACCGTTCCAGTCCACTCAGCCCTAAAAAAGCAGCGTAAAAAAAACCTAAGCCCTGAAGATCCCTTAAACCTCAAACCCCTCCTGAAAGGAAGGCACCCCTCCCTCGAATCAGTCTAATTTGAGGTCCTCCACAGGCTCCTGGATGCAGGCATCCGTCCGAGGGTCGACAATGCTGGAGCCTCAAGAAGAAGCTGGTGGTAGTTATAGTTGCGGTGGCAAGCACCTGAACTGGGCACAGACTACTTGTAGTTACCTTGCGACGGACCCTATCCATAGCTATTTCTGGGAGTTAATGGCAGAGAGGCTTGGGGGGCAAGGCTGGCTTATGATGTGCGATGCCCTGCACCCAGGAGGGCCTCACGGCACTGCACTACGCGGCCTTTGCCGGGTCGGGCGACGCCGCAGCCATCCCAGCGAAAGGATTTATTTTTAGGGACTCTGTGTCTGCACTTCTGTCAGAGTGCCTTACTTAGCTTACTTTAGCCGTTGTGGCCTGGGCCGGGCTCGGCCATGTCAAAGCATCCCTTCAAGACCCTTCGGTGCGCGAGAGGCCACCGCCGAGAAGCCTGCAACAAGCAACATCCCGAACACGTTGAAGATCCCAAAGAAGGGTCGAGAGACGGTTGAATGCTCCTTCTTTAGGTTGCACACTGAGGTCACGGCGCTTTTACGAGCAAAGGCATGTTGCGATGCCAAAGCCCATGGAGGCCGCAGCAGTGTCAGGGTGGGTGTTTGGGTTTTTGCTGTTAGTTACTGGTCTTTGGGTTGTTGGAATTGTCAGGGTTCCATGACTGGGGGGTTGCGGGATTTATGGTGCAGTAAACTCTTAACCCTAACGCTTAAACGCTAGAAACCCTAACCCGTAAAGCTTAACCCCTAAACCCTAACACTATAACTTCGGCGAAGAAAAACCGGCCTTCGAGCGAAGGTGATATTCAAGAAGTCTCGGCTCCCTCCGGTTCAGAGCTGCTTCCCCAGAGGCTGTAGGTTTTAGGGGGTTTAGGAGCTATGGAGCCAAACCGCCAAGCCTGACCCTACACCCCAAACTTAGGGTTTAGGGGTTTAGGGTTTAGGGTTGAGGATTTAGGGTTAAGCCCTGAACTCTAAATCCTAAGTCCTACTCTGGCTGGGTCAGGAATCACTCCGCTGATGCTCGCAGCGCCCGGGAGCCTGGGAAGAGCCGGCAAGAGCTCACGATTCGAGTAGTGCTTGTAGTGCAGAGTGCAGGGTTATCGGGTTTTGTGATACTGCACCTTTGCGTTGTAGACATTGCATAAAGTAACTAGGCCTTAAACCCTTTGTCCCCCAACCTTAAGCCACTTAAACCCAGCTGTAAGTTTCCCAACTGTTGTCGCTCCTGTGCACATTTCCGGCCTGGCGTACTCTCAAGCCCTCCGGCCCCCGCAGCAAGAGTGGAGTTTCATGGGTTGCGAGTTGGGGTCCAAGGGTTGGGGATTCGAGTTTTCGGGGTCGAGGGTGAAGGAGCCTTCCGACCGAAGCCCCCAAGCTTAGAGAAATGATCTACACAAATAAATTCAGAAACCATCTACTTTTTGGGTCTGCGTCGCTGTAGTTTCAATATCAGTGTTGATGAAGACCCGACGAAACAGCCGGTTCAACGTGAATTTAGTTGGTTTGAAGATTCCAAGCGATTCAGGCTTGCTGGCAGCCTTGCTTGCGCACGGCTGCTGTGGGAGAGCGGTGCGGACGTGGCGAGCGTCGACGAGCAAGGCGACTGGGGATTCTTATTTCAGGGTGAGGGTCTGCATATCTACGGCCTAGATTTAACTCGGGTTTGGGGCAAGGGGCCAAGCTCACATCTCACCATAGCGAGACAGTGGCACACGATCCCGAGAGGAGCTAGCATTCTGGATCATTCTTGGTGAACCTACCTGGCTTCTCAATGGTCCTAGCAAGAGCATGCTTGTGTGTTGAGAATCGGCGGCCGTCTGCAAGTCTCTGCTGTAGTGAACTTCTATTGTTCACATTACCCTGCAGGGAGACGGAATATCGAACAGCTAAACCCTAAACAAGACGGCCTGCACCCCAATCCCAACCTAAACCCTTGAGAGGAGCGTTGGGAGCCAATTCCGCTTTTCCGCATCAGGTCAGACAGCGGCAACCTGGGTGTGTGCCTGCCCTAGGTTGAGGGACTTCAGCGCAGCCTCTGTCTTTACATACGACGGCATGATACTCTGCATCGTTACGTCGGCAGTTCTGAAAAGCATATGCATGCTGGTTGAAGCTATTGATGTTGGACAGCCGGATGGTGGCAGCTGTTTCGCTGAACATTCCCATTCCACCTTTGATTTTGAAACAGGCCTCTAGACTCTGGGCCATCTATATAAACCCTAAGCCCGAGACTCCAAACCCAAAACCCAAACCCTGCACCCTAAGACATCCTACGACCCCAACCCCAATTCTTAAACCCTGAACCCTTTGATGATTTTTCATGCTGGCCCTTACAACATTCAACCCTCGCCAGCCGTGATTGTTAGGCCTGGGTTGTGGCGAGCCTCCCTCGCGAAGTGGTCGCCACCGGCTCCTGAACAATGGGTGGCTCCCCCAGGTGGCGGGGTGTTCTCAATGGGTCGCATAGAGGGTCTAGGGTTTAGGGTAGAAATCACAAGCTGGTCATGAGTGTTCTTGTTCGGGCCGATGATGCTGATGGTGGCAGTGGCATCATCATCATTATCAGCACCATCATCGTCATCATCATCATCACCATCATCACCATCATCATCATCATGACCATCATCAGCATCGTCATCATCAACAGTGACCTCGAGGCGGAGAGGCAGGCGCGTAAGCAACTACACACATTGAAACCCGATATGATGGACATGACGTGCAGCTGTGCTCTGAGAAAGCATAAGCAAGAGACCCTGGGGAGAATAAGGGGACCAGACGGGCCTAAACAGCTTTCCTTCTTGTCCCTGCTCTCCCGAATCATAGCCACCCAGGCCCGAAGAGATCAAGTCCATGGGCGGCATCAGCCGCACACCCAGGTTGCAGGAGTGCGTTTGTGCTCTTCAATGTCAAGGTTAATGAACTGAGCCGGTTCAATAGCCCAGCGCTCTTTAATTACAGCACGCCAATTGTCGGAGAAGGCGCCATAGGGACTGCTATGCTACATGTGCATAATGGTATATTATGTGTATATACACATGCATGTACTGTATATGTATACATACACACATCCATCCTGACAGACATACATGTCTATCAATGTGCCTACCCACCTACCTAACTACCTACCTACCTACCCACCTAGCTAGGGGTTCTGGTTTCAGGATTTAAAGGCCCCTAAACCCCCAAAAGACCCAAACCCCTGAAACCACAAACCCCGAACGAAACCCTAAACTCCGAAACCTCCACAAAGCCTATACCCTTAAACCCTAAACCCCACACCCTTAGAACCCTTAAGCCCCTGAACCCCTAAACCCTAAAGCCCCTTTTTCGGGGCTTCCTAAACCCTAAACCCTAAACCCTAAACCCTAAATCCTAAAGGATCCCTTCTCAGGCAGTGGGCTCCACGAGGCGCTCGACAGGCGCCGGCCGCCGGATGCCGAGGATTATGGCTCCGGGGCCCTTTGGGGTTTAGGGTTTAGTGGTTTGGGGTTAAGGGTTGGGTTTAGGGTTTAGTGGTTTGGGGTTAAGGGTTGGGTTTAGGGTTTAGGGGTTTGGGGTTGAGGGTTGGGTTTAGGGTTTAGTGGTT